TCATCAAAATATGATTTGTGGGTGATGATTCTCGTCGATGATGATGATGATAATAAAGCAACCAAAACATATCGAAAAATCAAAGGTACCATCCCATTTTTTCAATTTAGTCTAATAAATAAACACGATAATACACAAACAGACAAAATATTGGTGGTTCACATAGAAATAACTTTTTCTTTCATTCTTTTTTGGAAAATTAACCTATCACCGAAGATTCGTTAGAAAGCAAGAATATTGAACATCCGCATCATTCACATACGTCATTCGTCAAATATATAGTGCGGATCGAAAATGAATATGAACGTATGTGATGCGCATGAACCATGTGTGTGTCTATGTGACATGTGTTCCATCATCAAGCATTTTGGTCAAAATTTTCATTCTGAAACAAAAAACCAGAATCCACAGAATAAAGGCATCACCAATTTGTAACGTATGTAATGTTATTATAGAATCGAAACATCTTGATCATAGATGACAATTTTTGCAATAATCAAAATAAAATGCGCAACAGCAGATGAACAAAACCAAAAAACATTCTGGTCTCACTAAATACACTACCATATTACTGCTACTACCACCCTCTTCCTTTATTCAAATGTGACATAACAAGCTTGTTTTTTTTGAAATGAACGATATTGTTACACTCAGCACACAGATTGTGTGTGTTCTACAAACATACAATATTTCAAATACAAAACACCGAAGTGGCCGAATATTATTATACTCCACCTTAATGGGATGGAACAAAATCACATCATTGCTGTCTATTGTTTTCACCCACACAATGTGCAATAATTGAAAGAAAGGAAGGAAGGAATTTGCTAAGATAAGCTTGATCGAGGGGTAGAGTATGCGCATCCTGTCTTATGATTCTTGTCAAGGAATATGCCTGAATAGAGAAATAATGAATAGAGAGACAGAAAAAACATCATCATTCTAGAACTGTGAATAATAATGAGATATGAAAATGATAAAAAAATATTGTACAAAAAAAAGAAAAATATTCTAGGATAATAAATGGAAAAAAGAAAGAAACCATCGTTATTCATATATTCATTGTTCGGAATGAAATCCTCCAGCTCAAAAAATGAATGAATAATGGATCATCCGAACTAAAAAAGAAAAAAATAATAGACATTGATTCAAAAGGATGTGATTATTTTTTTCATAATATTAATCGATTTAATCGATTTTTTCGTTGCTCACTAAGTCATTCTTTCATTCATTTACACATAATCATTTCTTTTAATAGAAAACAAAAAAAACAATGCAAAAATTTCGATATTCAAAACAAGGAAATATTTTTATCTCAATATTGTTTGTTGTTTTTGACTAATCATTTTTTGGGCTACAAACAACCAATAATGATTATTCGAAACAAAAAAAAGCCAATATTTTTGAATTGGTGAATCTTGCTTTTCGACGATCCCCAAAGAGTTTTCTATAATCAAAACCAACCAAACCAAAACGAAATACGATCCATTCGATATAAAACTCAAGGGATGAAACAAAAATCAAATTAATTGTGTGTGTGCGCTCGGTTGCCGACGCGTGTTTTCCATTCTCTCGGTTATATTACACGTGTTAATCAGAAAAGACTGGGTGAACATAAAAACGCGTGTTTTTCCAAACATTTAACATTTGGTTACTGTAATTATAACACGAAAAAAATGTTGTTGTAATCGGACACTATGATCCTGACTTTTGCAGAGAAAAAACAAGTCAAAAATAACTAAAATGGTTGGTTGACTGATTGAGGGAAGTTGATTTCAACAACGAAAAAAAAACATACCGCACACACACTCATACGACAGACGTTTTCAATATGGATAGACCAAATGGATCTGAACGTCAAGAGACCACCAATACATATTGTCAAAACAGAATTGAAATTTTAAACCTACTATTGGTCATTGATCTTAGTGATTTTTTTCCAAATAACCAAAATAAACATTTGAATATGAATCAATATTGTAAACAGAGAATAGAGAAATGTTTATTTTATATTCATCATGATTGCCATAGGCTATCAAAACTAATAAAAATAGTCCAAGAATAAAAATGGACAAGAATCGGATGCAGAAAAGAATATTCATGAAACAAGATTGATTCTTAAGGTCGATTGAACCAATTTATTCAATCATTACACAAGGGAATGGAGAAAAAAAATCAAACTTGATTTCAAAAGTTTGATTTTCCTCTAAATAACATCTGCTTTTTCCAACAAAAACAAAACAAACAATATGAAATTTGATCCAAGAAAAGTTGAAAAAAATTCTTGAAATTTCGTCTCAAAATCATCAAAACAAACTCATCCAGGTTCATATGATTGAATAGAGAATATTCTCTTGTCAGTTTTCTATTTGATTGACTGTGTGTGTGATTCGAAAATTTTCGGTTCCCATAAAATCAACGGTTTTTTGCCGAAGAAACAACAACAAATTCGTTATGCATGTTGGTGCGGAACTAAAGGAAATTACCGAAAATCTCAGAAACCTGACCAATGTTTATGTCAACAACAACAACGATGTTCATATTTTCAATAACAACCGAAACAAATTTCTTTCCAAAAAACTGCTGTTCGATCAATAATGTCATCATCCTATGTAGTTAGTAGTATCAAACACACACATACGATCAATGTAAAGATTTTATTCGGTTGACTCGTGTGACATTATTAGAGAAATTTTTCAAACAAATTTTCGAATGGAAATGTATGATTCAAAAAACCGATTCAAATCGAATATTGAAACAAAAATCTTCTCTCTAACACAAGAAAATTCTCTTATCATCATCCTCATTCGAAATTTGGTAACACTTTTTTATTCGAGGCAAAACAAAGCGAATGAAGGATGCATAATTGATAATGATGATGGCAACATTATTCATGATCAATATGAATGTTATCATCATCAACAACAACGAGAAATTTCCCCGGGAATAATCTTTGAATTAAATCTAATATGTCTCTCTTTAGCTTACGCTATCGTTATCGCTATCGTTATCGCTATCGTCATTCTATTATTCTTCATCACCACCAGAATCGACGACATCATTATTCTTTATTGTCAAAAAACTGTTTTCCAAACAAAAAAAAACATTACATTTTTTCCTTTTCATCATCATATCGAGTGGAGAGAATTTAAAAAAAATCATCATAAAAAATGAAATATTTTTTAAAAAATAAAATAAGGGAGAAAAATTCAATTCAATTCCAAAACGTGTGCCACATCAAATCACACATCACATCACATCACGTTTATTGAAATCGTTTAGCCTAATGAGCCGTAAGTGACAACAGTTTCTATTTTTTTACTTAAAAAAATTCATTCATTTTGTTGTTTGAATTTTTTTCAATTTTATCATTTTTTTCTCACTTTCGGATGATGTTCAGAGGTGTGTGTGTATGATACAAACACACACACACTTTATCTCAATGATTACTTTGATTTTACAAAAAAAAAAATCGTTTTTGTTTGAAATGAAAACAATTTTTCAGCTAGAAGAGATTTACGCTTGAAAAATTTTCTCTCATCATCATTTTTTTATCTAGAAAAAAAGTTTTTGGTAACTGAATGTTTTAGGGAACATTTTTCGTTCCCCATTGCCATACTGGATCATCATCAACAGAAAAACTTTCCAAAAGATTCACAAAAAAAGGAGTAACTTTATAGGAAAAAAGTTTCTGTAAACTGAATGAAATGAACAAACCAGAAAAACAAATCAGAAAATTGTTAATCAAGCCGAAAATCTTATTTTCCAAATCGGTCAGCGTGATTGATTTTTTGTTGGGCAATCGGAAAACAATTGTAAACATTTTTTTTTTGATTCAATTGATGAAATTAATCACAACACCATCACCAAGCGAACAGCGATTAAATCGATTTTTCCATTTAACTAACCAACCACTCTCTAAAAGTGATTCATTTCAACTAATGATCATTTTCTTTTTTGAATTCATTCACTTTATAGATTAGGGTATCATCATCATTCAAGTGTGTTTGTGTGCAAGGGAATTCCATTTTCGATACAGTTCAATGCATTTTAATCAAAAAAGAATAATTTCGAAAACATTTCTCTCTTTTTTCGCATTATATTCTCTGCAAATAATTTGCTATCTTTGTCATCTTTGTTGATATATTTTCAAGTAAAATGCAAATTTTCTTTTCGATTCAAGATTGTTGTCATTATAATTTGTTGTTGTTGTCGTTTTGGTCTTGATCATCATGTCATTCAAAATCTGTTGCCATCGTTGTTGTTCCGCAACAAAAGAAACTGTTCATTTTCCATTCACATGATTCATGTCAGATTCAATGATGTTGTCAACATGAGAATATATATAATTCATTACCATAGTTTCATTGAATAAAAGAATCAATGTTGACATTACATATTCTTTATCATCATCATCATCGAAAACCTAAAAGCTTGGAATAATTGCAAGCAAGAGAACTTATGGAATCTTTTCTTGTTGTTCTTCATTTTTGTGTTTTGTCAATAAATCTCACATGTCAAGTGTGTAAATGAATAAATAAATCTCATTAGAATAATTGAATGAATCAAAATGTTATTCTGCAGTCCAAAACAAAAACAGAATGAGAATGAGTGAATGAATGAATAATGATGACTATAGAATCGATTATTCTGTTCATCATTGTCTAACCCGTTTTCATTATTGAATTAAAATATTGCCTATGTGATGATTATGATTAACACCGATCTAAATCGAAACAAAATCAATAATGACAGCTGATTGAATATAACATGATAACCATCAACAAATATGTTATGGATTTGATTATCTTGATGCGATCGTATCATATGAAAAGTGTTGTTAATATTTTGGACATGACAACAATTCAATGATTGTTCATCAAGTTGATTGAATATTCATTTTCTTCTGGTCAATGATTTTTGTAATCATGAAAATTGATTATTTTGCTCAGTATACATTGAAATCACCCTTCAATCGTAATAAATGAAAAATGTTTTTATTTACAAAAAATGACGCAAAAAATTTACAGACATTCAATTTTGATATGTTAATGGATAGAAAAATCAATCAATTCCTTAACATTTTAAACGTTCTGTACGATATCGTTGTATACGTTGAGCACGTTCATGACGATTAATTAATTCATTTGATTTATAAAGAAACAATAGAAATGCCATACAATGATAGATAACAATATTGATTGCTGCGCGTAAATAATTCCATAAAAATTGAGGCCATTCATCTTCAATATGCGTCATATACAATATAATCTGTATCTGATTGTTCATTGATGAACATCTTTCACCACCATAAACCAACCATAGATTAGCATTATGTAAATGCTTTAGAATGGCAAATTTTTCAACAAATTTCACGATAAAATTCATTTCCTGCAATATTGGTCCAGTATGCCACATTAAATGATCGAAACAAAGAAAACAGATAATAATAATGAATATATTGATCAAATTACGTGGAAATGTAAATATTGCCATATTTATAACGGCTATGAATGCCATTGAACCCATATGCAATATTAATATATACCATACAAAATAATTATTCATTGAAACAGGTGAATAAATATCGATCATATAAACATAGATCAATATGAATGGTATTATTTTGATTGAATCATATATCAATTTCATTATATAATACGTGCCACATGAGTACCATCCTATCAAATGAAAATGATAATAATTTCAATGTTTGAACAAATTTGAAATAAACACTTACCATTGGCATGCTGACACATGAAATGCGGTAAATCAATGGCAAAATGAAAAGCCATTTCGGGACTGATCAATATCATGAAACCAACCGACATTATAATCATATAATTAACATTACTAAACATTGCCATATCTTCATATTGCCTTTCGATTGTTGTACGATTTGTACAAATTTCATTGATATCATCATCCATTAATGATAAACAACCATCAAATTGGGCAACATTTGGATCGATAAATCCAACCAATGATAAACCGGCAACAAAAAATAATAATAAACAGGCCAAATATTTGAACCATAAATGTTGCTGAAATAATTTTGCTGAACGATCAAATAGAATCCATATTGAACGAAAGGTAAAACGATTACGTACAGTAGGGATACCATCCGAAACTTGTATCGTATCAATTGATATATTAATTTTTTGAATTTTTTTCGATGTTTTTTCCGCAAACTTCTGTACAATTGGATTTGTTAGTCCTGTACAAGAATATTTGATTAATGTTTCGATTGGGAATTGTAATTCATCCAATAATGATTGATTTGTCAGTGACGATTCTTGTTGTAGAAAATTTTTAACCTGATTCGGTGGACCTGAATAAATACAGATACCATCATATGCTAGGACATAACAATGATCAAACATCATTAATTGTTCAGTATTTGGTTGATGTATACTAACAATCATTGTTATTTGGGGATTATTTGATAAAAATTTTCTTAAACATTTCAGTACTAAGCGACTTGAATTGGAATCTAATCCACTTGTTGGTTCATCAATACAGATTAGATTTGGCATCTGAATCGATGTTAATTCCAGCGCTAATGCTAAACGTTTACGTTGACCACCAGAACAATTTTGTACTAATGTTTCGGCCGTATCCATAATATCCAATTCGTACATCAATTTCATTATCCGTTGATTATGATCCGGAATTGTTGTTGGATTGATAAATTGACAATTTTTCAATTTGGATGCATAAATTAAACTTTGTCGTACAGTAAGACCAGGTATTAAATGATCAGATATTTCCTGGGCAATAAAACATGTACGAATCGGTATAAAACGGCTTAGATAGAATTGTGTGGATCCAGCCAATTTAGTTTTCATATGACCATTCAATACTTTTAATAATGATGTTTTACCCGATCCTGAACTACCCATCAATGCATTCAATGTACCGAATTTGATTTGTCCATCAAGATTGCGTAATATTAATTGACGATCATTATCATTATTTGATGATAAGGATTTTGGTGATGGTTGAATATCGTAAATAGAATCTTTAGCATATAATGTCAGATTACGCCAACCAATTATATATCGATCTTTACAGAATTGTTTCATTTGTTTGATGGATTCATCATTATTATCATCCACAACATCATTATCTTCATTGTTATTGTTATCATCCATTTTAATCGTGACCATAGTATTGATCGATGACGATTTAATGATTGGAATCAATTTTTTTCTCTTGGTTTGTAATATTATCTTTTTGTTATTGATATTTAAAATATTTTTCCATTCAAATTTCCAATGAAATAATGTTGGATTTAGATGAAAATAGGTAACGATGAAACCAATAAAACGTATGATAATAATATTGGCCAATGGTATTAATAAATTCCAATAAATATTATCAATATCCACAAAAAATTTATCCATTGTTGATGAATATTGCATGGAGGAATAATCACAACGATCAATACCGAAAAATGCATATAATAAACCGGCACCAATATAACGAAAACCGAGCCATTCAGTCATCATTAATACGAATGATTTTTTCATAATATTTGTTATGAATAGCAAACAATCTAATAATATTACTTCGATTATAATCAATTGACAAATCAGTATTGATGCATGCACATTTTCCGGAAATAATGAACAACTAAGCTGGCCAAATGAATGCGAATATATTGACATTATCAAATAGAATAGTAAAAAATTACCAAAGCGCAACCAATTCAATTGATAATTATCAATATAAATATAACCAACATTCAAATATATTGTTACTGTGAGATGTACTATTAATAATGATAATTTTATCAATTGTACTAAATGATATGGTATCATTAATACCGTAAAACTATACCATCCTTTTCGGAGAGAAAAAAGTTAAAAAAAAGAAAAAGGATTCAATTAATTAGAATGAAAGATTTGATTTAGTGAAATGATTAATTTACCATTTAGATATTCATTACGTACAACTTTAAGATAACCAATTGATAATATAGCCAATATACCGGTAGATATACCAATGATACTGATTAGAAAAACTGTTTGCAAAATAATAAAAAGTGATGTTAAACGTTCTTCATTTAGATGATCATTACAGGTAATGTTTTTCATGAGAACATCAGAAGAAGCACAACCATCTATATCGAGAATATCTTTATCAACAATCGATATGAATGATGCTGCGCCGATTGTTTGCAATATAATTATACCGATAAAAACTCTTACATCAACAATGAAAAGTAGCCGTAATAATCGTTTGAATTGTATGAATAAATCTTGAAAATAAAACGATTTTCGATAATGTGGTAGTCCATTTGGTATTGATTGATAATTCATCGATTGTTTGTCATTCATTAGCAATGAATATTCATATTGATCATTGATAACACTATTGGCTAATTGTTTAACATTGTCACCATCGATACCATTGCTTGCAATGGACAGATATTTTTCAATCGGTGATATATCATCATTTATTTCAATACCGGTTACTTGTTTCAAATATGATGGTAATGAATTTGGTCTGCCCGAATAGATCATCAGGCCACCTTTAGCCAATATGAATAATTTATCAAAATGATTCAATATTGCTTGACTTGGTGAATGAATGGAAACAAATACTGTGATTGGATTATTTTTTGATAATCGTTGCAAACAACGAATAACCAACAGAGCAGATTCACTATCTAATCCGGTCGTTGGTTCATCAATAAACAAAAACATTGGCCGTGAATCTGAATCGGACATTAATTCCTGGGCAATTGCTATGCGACGTTTTTCACCCCCCGAACATTTTTCAAATCTTGTTCGACGTATTCGTTCATCTAACATTAATTCATTCATTGTTGTTCGAATACAATTATCCAGATGGTCAAATTGACCACCATTTTGATGATGATATGATGGATTCTTAAAACAAAATGAATATTTCAGTATTTCTTCAACAGTAAAACGACCGAAAATAGTTTCCTGTACAAATTGCGGTACCAAACCAAATAATGGAGTTTGTTTCCTTGTTGATTTGGGTGAGCATAATTTTTGATTGAAATAGATTTCCGTTTCACGGGATAATTTTCCATTAATCGAAATATTACCGGTGAGACAATTGATGAATGATGTTTTACCAGCACCTGATGGTCCTAATAATGCATTCAAACTATTCAAACATACCGAACCATTCAAACAATTCAATATCGATTTTGGCTGACGCTTTGGATAATTCAAACAATAACGATTGTCATTCGTTTGTTGCCACTCATAAACATCGTAACAAAGATTTTTCCAATATAATGTTATTGGCTTTGATGTTGATGATGATGATGATTCCAAATGGTTATCCATTTCCGTAAAAATAATTGATTGATTGATTCGTTCATCAACAAAACAAAATAAAATGAAAAATCAACAAAAAATGAACATCTACAAATGAATCAAATCATTGGCTGTATTTAAATATTTTGTTGTTGTTGTTTGGAAAAAAAAGAACATTCCTTTTTGTTGCTTTTACCGTCATCATCATTATCATTAAAATGATTAGATAATGACAAGGTTTTGAAGAAAAAGAAGAAGTAAAAAGAAATGTAGCTGTATGAATTGTTCAATTCAAAAACCAATCATCATTCAAAAGATACCTCAAGGGTAGAGGAGCATAGTTTTCTAGAAAAATCAAAAGAAAAAAAATTTCTAAGAATTTCAATCAATCAAATGCACCGAGGAACAAAAAAAAACCAAACATAAAAACATTGTTTTTTCCCAATCAAATGCACTGAACAAAAACAAAAACCAAACAAGTAATCAACCCCTTTCATCTTTTGCGACTTTGATTATTGATTTGGATGTTTTTATCATGGATATTCAAATCAATAATGATAATTTAATTTGACATTATTAAATTACGGAAAAAAATAAACAAGAAGAAAGAAATAAACAATATTGACATTGACCATGAATTTTTTCAATGTTTTTTCTTCGATGAAAAAGGCCAAGGTAATTGAACTTCTTCTTTTTTTATAGCGGGTAATTATTTCGTTATTTCTGTAATGTTGGTGCGTTGATAAACAAGTTTTCAATCCCCAAATAATCTGCAATTATCATTGAAAAATGCAACAGTTTTTTTTCGTTTTTTGGTTTCCCCATCTTTAGTTTATCATGAAAATCATGGACATCGTGCATGGAATTATCAACCACAAAATAAAAAGGCCTTGTTAAAACTTTGTTTTTTCGGCCTTGTTTTGTTGTTTATGCAAAACAGAAACAAAAAAAAACAAAATCAATACTGATTAGAGTTTGAAATGACAAGTGCAATCAAAAGAAAAACAAACAAACAATCACACGAAAAAATTATTTCCGTCAGATTATTCAAGTAAACAACAACAAAAATGTTTGTTCATTTGCCAATTTGATCATTTTATCACAAAATTGTGCCATCAACATATTGAATACGTCGTAAAAAATATTTTAAAATTCTTTTCTCATCAATAAAAAAATTAACGAATTTTATTTGAAAAAAATAAACTTTAATGATGCTAAAAAAACCCTGATGATGAAACGAATGAAAACAAATCAAGAAAAAAAAAGAAAGAATCACAAAATATTTATATAATGAATATAGAAACTTCAAATCAATCGAAATGTAATGTTGTCGCTTTTGAAAGTTAATCAATGGTTCCATAATTGGCCGTATTATTATCACCACCAACACCAACATTATGATTATCTGTGATTGTTTGTTGTTGTCGATTTGATTGTTGTTGTTGTTCATCATCATCATCCTTATTATTAATCAGTGGTCTGTCATCCGATGATGATGATGATGAATGGACATCATCATAAAATGATGATTGATGATAATAATATAATATACATACAAATAATGAATAAATCAACATTATTGAACCAATGATTATGATTAATGATACAACTGTATAGGCAATAATACGTGGTTGTTTTGTTTGCATTTCAATTGTCTGAGCTATCTCGGGTGTTATATGAATAGTTAGACTTTGCCACATTGTTGGCATCATCACTGGTTGCATTTGTTGATGTGTTGTTTGTGCTGTTTGTACATCAACATTAACCTGTACACGTGCAACAAAATCAACCGGTGTACCTGTTTGTGGTTCAATATCAATATATGATTGATGCAATGAACGATTTGGATGTAATCCATCAACATGTTCAAGATAATAATTCGATGCTTCGAAAAAATGTGGAAATGATATGAATATTGGTGCACCTTGTTGACATGCGGATAAATCAAAAACACCTGATGGTTTTATTGTTGTTGTCGTTTGATTCATTTTATCATCATTGATTGATTCGGTGGCTAACAAATGAGAAAAGGTGAACAAAAGAAATTGATTAGAAAATAGACAAAGACAAAATTTTCTCTTACAATTTTTTGAAGAAACATCAGCCAAATTTATTTCTAATTTATCGATGAAATGTTCAGCCATTTGTTTGATTGATTTTTCATCCATTTCAAATTGGGGTAATTTTTGTTTGGATTGATAACAACTATTCGGTGGATAATCCTTTGAATTCATAAATGAATGTCGATCTAAATGAAAACGATCGGTACGTAATGGATGAACATCACTAATTATATTTGTTTCATTCAATGTAAGATTAAATGAACGACAAAAATCTGGACGAAAAAATCTATACATTTTATGGCCGCCAAAAATTTGTGGAGGTGGAAATAGTTCACCATTTTGTGTACCATTAATATCATTACATTGATCATTTTGCCAATAATTTAGTTTTGCCGAACCATTGTATGTTATTATGGATGTTAGCTGATTAATATTACTGTGCCCAGTATATTGAACATAAGGACCGAACCATGTATCATTTTGATTGGACATTAATGAAAAATAACATGATGGAATTTGTTTGGGCAAGAATTTTCTCAATTCACAAAGAATTGGACTTTTATAACCACTAAATAATAATTGATCAACTGTTGTTGTAATGAAAAAATTATAATTCAAACGATTAAAAATGGCACGAATGATTGGCCGTAACCATTTGGGCACAGCGTTTGAATCCAACATTTTATATACGGTTAATAATGGTATGTTCATGATTGTTACCTAGTTTATTATAAATGAAAAGATTTTTTTAAATATTTTTGCAGAAAACAAACAAACGAAAAAATACCTGTGTTTGTAAATCATATGCTGATTGATTGGATTGAAAATAGAATTGTTTCTTTTCCCAATAAGAAACAATTGTTTGATTTGAATTGAATGTAATTTCACCTTTTGTTATGTTCAAACGATAAACAAATGGACCAATTTCTTTTACTTTAGGTTTAGCGCCCATTAATGTTTCATCTGGATTGGTTATATTAAATAGATAAAAACTTTGAGAAATTGGTAGATCCATATCACGCCATAAAATATAACCAGGATTTTCTGGCAATGTTGCCAATTTTTGATGTAAAATTTTGGTAATTAAATTCTGTCCAATTGGTAACAATGATATACCAATAGCTGTCAATATTATTCCAATAATGGATAAAATAATTATACGTTTTTTATGTTCCATAGCCATTGTTGTCGTTGATAATTTCGTCGAAGCTGCTGCGGATTACAAATCGCAATCAGAATTGGTAAAAAATGATAATGTTTGTCAATCGATGATGTTTATGTTTTGGATTTTCTCTACATGACCAATTCGTGAATCCAACGAAAAAAATGGATAAGATTTATTTGATCAACAGAATAAACATTTACAATAACCAGTTTAGCTATAAAAAGAGAAGATTATCAGAAATTATATGATAAGGATTCTCGATAGAAAAATAAACCTTTGATATTTATGTGTCTCAAGGAAGCCAATTGACAATTGAATCGGTATAGAGAAAAACAAAAAATTGGTTGTCGATGAGTGATGATAACAACAAAAAAAGTATTGCAACCAAAAAAAAATTGATCAAACTAAAAGATAATCAACAAACGAACGAAAAAAACCTAAACAAATAGAGAACAAAGTGAAAGTAGATAATCACTCAATATCGAAAAAGGAAAAAGATTACCAAAATCAATAACAAAAAAAAAGAAAGAAGAAATACGACTTAATTTTGTCGAAAAAATTGATGGCAGATCATCATCATCATCGTTTACCATCCACCAATTATACAGGTGTAAAATAATTAATGAATTTTCTTCAGTTTTTTGTCTCAAATGAATTCAATGACGAAATCAATTTATGCAGTGACGCAGTTAATGGCGAAAAAATATGAACGCCTAATTATTATTGGCTGCTATAAAAACAGAACAAAAAAAAAACAAAACGATAATAATCATTGGTATCAGGAAGATTATTTTATTTTTGTAAACAAACATTTCATGTTTGATGATGATGTTGATAATGATAAATCAATGTTTTTCAATGATGAATCATTCTTGTTTTGTGCAAAAAAATCTTTTTATTTTAGGATACAAAATCATATTGGATTAATTGGATTGATTTGTCAATTGGATTTTTTGCTTGTTTTTCACAGAAATTAATTTTTTCAATGTTTTCTTCAATATGATAACATTGAATGTGTGATAGAAGTAAATAAACAAATTGGAAAAACAGTTTTGTACATTGTAAGTTGCAGTCAAGATACGATTTTTTTTGTTGCAATGTATGAAATTTGTTAATAAATAAATAAAATTACTAAATCATATTCGAAGATGATTATTGAATTTTTCAACACTCCATTTGGGTTCAACGTTTCTATTTTGACCCATACGACCATCATCATTATCATCATCATTATCGTTTGTTGCTGTTGAACGATGATGATATTTAATTTTTGGTAATTTACTTTTCATCAGGTATAAAACCTGCCAGAATAAATTAGTGTGATTAAATCGTCGTACAACTTTGGTTGTATGTGCTGTTGATTGATTGATTTCGGCAAAAATTTCATGTGAATTGGATTTATTTTTCTTCTTCGTCAGCATCGATGAATTGTTGTCCATTAAATAATGATTAGTCATTATGGGATTTGAAATAGGATTATTATTTTCATCTTTAGATATAATTGAATGTGATGATGGTGATTGTTCATTATCATCAATAATTTTTGTATCGATAGGTGTTAATAACCAATGATCACCACATTTACCAAATACTAATGAATTACGTTTTTTTCTGGTTCTCGCCAATGATGTATTACTGAATGGTGATGTAAGAATATCATTGATTTTGTCTTCAGTATATATGGGAATTGGTTTGAATTGATTTCTCCTTGATCCGGTGCCTAATTGTCCATAATAATTCGAACCAAATCCTAACATTTGACCATCAATACTTAAAGCAAGGACGTGATTTTGTCCACATGTAACTTGTTTGATTCGAAAATCATTGCCATCAATCACTTTGGTTGGAATGTTACAATAATTGAATTGTTTATCATTCGGATGATTGTGATGACCAATACCAAGTTGTCCGAATGCATTATGTCCCCATGTAAACAGATGGCCTGAACGCGTTAATGCCACTGAATGATGTTGGCCACAAGCTATTTCCACAATATTTTCTCGCTTTAATCGACGTAATAATGTTGGCTGAAAACGATTATGATTATCACCTAGACCTAATTGTCCCCAAAAATTGAAACCCCAACCAAATAATTGGCCACGTTTTGTTAATGCTAATGAATGAAATGCACCGCAAGCAATACCGATTATAAATTCATTACTTAATGATTCTATTTGTTTTGGAATATTTATTTCCTCGTTAATACCGAGCTGACCAAATTCATTACTACCACAGCAATATATTTTACCCGTTTTTGATCTTGCCAATAAATGATTACGACCGGCGGAAAATTCCTGGATTTTTCGTCCACATAATTGATGAATTTTTTGCGGTTCAATGATTAAATCACCATTATCATTTCGATGATTACCGATACCTAAATAACCACAATTATTACGACCATATGAATAGACATGATCATTTCGAGTGATAAATATTACTGAATCATTATTGCGACCGAAAACGAAAACACGTCGGATATCTTCATAAAGATAGCTATCAAGATCATTCAGCATCGGTATTGAGCGACGAAGCTTACTTCGCTCAAGTGTCATGATTATTTTTGTCGTCACTGTTTGATCAAATGATGATGATGGTTATGATGATAACATGATCAAACACCAAACATTTTTGAAACTTTAAAATTTTCAATATTTTAAATGACAATTTTAAAATGGTTGATTGATTGTTGAATTTTTGCACAGAATCAAAAATTCAATGTTTTTTGCACATCATTGACATTGTCCTATATATATTTGAATAATGAAAATGACAACATTGTTAATTGGAATCAAGATTTTTTTTGAACAAAACTCTTCTAATTAACAATGGAAAACAATGAAATTCATGAAATTTTTGCAAACAGAAAAAAGACAACACAGTCAAACGAAAAATGATTTCCTTTTCTTTGGCTTTGATTCAAGATTTTTTTGGTTTCGTCAATTTTGCTATTTTTGGCTAACATCAGTAGTTTTTAATTCGGTAAATTATATGACGTATAAGCACTCAGAATCCGGTTTTTCAAATTCATCAAAACACTGATATGACATTGTCGTCATTATTGAAAAAATTTATTAATATCATCATTATTTTTTCAGTGTCATTTCAAAATTCAATAAAAAAACAAAAACAATCATTTTTCTCAATCAACAGATGGCGATACTGTGTACAAAAAATTTTAAAATTTTTTATTCGCATCTCGACATCAATCAATCGATCGATTTTCAACAAACAACATTGATGATGAATGCAGCTCGATTAATTTCCACGCCATCATATTGAACATTAACAACAATTTTTTTTTCGGGAAACAAACAAATGATTTTCAACATTGTTTGTGGGTGTGCATAGCAAATTGGATTGTTTGCCGAATCAAAGTTTGTTTGTTGTCAATTCGAATCAAACAAACAAACAAACATCCCTGATGACGATGTTTGCTATTTCATTTTCATTTCCTTTTGTTTTTTTAGTTTCAACTAATTGAATCAAATCATCATCATCAAAAGCATCTGCTATATTGTTTCTTGGATCTTGCAATCTATCTTTCGAATTGGGATAAAATTTCCTTCCAGAATTGTTTTTAGCTATATATCAAAATTGTCCTGAATTGAATATATTCCATTTTTTTTTCACTCACTCACTCTGCTTATTATTAAATGTTTATTTTCATAAAAAAAGAAGATGTTGCCGATGTTCAATAAGATTTGAATAAGGCGGAATAATAACCGGCCTGCCAAAAAAAAATAATAATAACAGTCAATTTCTGATTTTATGAAATCTGCATCCAAAAATCGTTTGGCCAGTTTTCTTTCCTTGGTTTCTTCTTTTTCCTTATGTAAATGTGAATATATTTTTTCTGCATTCACAATAAAATACAGATGTGATTTGCAAGTGCATATAAATTTTCTCCAATTCTTGTTGAATCAACATAATAATGATGATAATTAAATTCATTTGTTTGAAAAAAAAATTAAAATCTGCGTTTAAAAAAAATAATCCAGATTTGGGGAAACCATCATAACGTACTTTGAAGAGGCCATAAAGCGTTTGTTAAAAAATTGTCAACTTTTAAGATTTTCTTCAATAACATTGTGTGTTTGCACAAACAATTTTCTCCATGAGCAAAAAAAACATAATAATTAATAATCCATAATTTTAATATGTTTTTCTGGCATCTCTCTCTCGCTTACTCTGGTGATGAACATTTAGTAACAACATAATTAAATATTTGTTTCTGTGGAAAAATAGAATTGCGTAATGAAAGAAAAATACATTTTTTAATAATAATGAACAACACATGGATAATCTTGTTATATTGTGATGATGGGGTGCAAAGAATTGTACATTTTTCAAAATAATCATAACTTTATTTATTGTATCATACAAATCAATTCAGTCATTGAACTATCCTGAAAAAATGAATCCATGTTGTCCATTGTTTGTAATGGTATCTGCGTATCGATCGGTAATAGTTCGGTGGTTAAATTCATTCCTATTTATTGAAACAAAATCAAGATTGAAAAAAATGAAATTCAAACAAAAAAAAATTCTTACCGCGTGATTCACGACATCGTTCACAGGAACATGGTATACCATTTTTAGTTGTGGCAATACGATGTTCAACTATTGGTTGTTTATTCATTTCAAAAATATCATCATCAAAATCATCACCAGCCATTAATGACCATTGTATCAGATCATCATTAGTGTTATTATTATTCGTATTCGAATGAATTTCGGGCAATTTATCCTGTTCCAAATACATAGCTTGAATGTAATTTTTTAGTTTTTGTTGTTGATGCGGTTGTTGTTGATCAGTTGACTTTTTTGCATTTTCATTCAATTTATTCAATTGTTTATCGGATGATGATTTTGATGATGATACACGATTCCAGAAACTTTTGCTAGCACTGGCATTATTATCATTTGCCATTTTATCGTTTGCAATGATTTGATTGCCATTTTTGATTTTATTCATTTGTTTCGTTGCTGATGATGATGACGTTGATGATGTTGATAAAGATGGATAGACAATATTTGAATTGTTTCGATTCGAATCATGTATTGTATAATAGATATGATCATCAAGTCCATGTTGTTGTTTCGACTGCTGATTATAATGATTTTTTAATGGTTCAGATAATTGATGATGCAATTGTTGTTGTTGTTGATTGGATTTAGTATCAATCAATGATAATTGTTTTTTAAGATTTCGACTTAGATGATTAACTTTTTGATAAGATAATTCCATCGATTCTGTATCAGGTTTGGATTTTGATTGCAATAGTCCATTATTGACTAATTCTTCTGAATCAGTCTGCGTTCGTTTATCCGAATAGAATCGTGTATTCAATAATGATTGTTGCTGTTGTTGTTGAGATTGATCATCATTGACAATATTGGCATTTGTATAAAAGTTATAACCATTACCGTCAATAATTTCGATTTGATTTTTAGCATAATCATTTTTCATTGAATTTGATTTGCTATTGTTGTTTCGTTTTGAGTTAAGAAATGCATTTGGTGGTGTTATAACACGCGATAAATGTTCATAACGTTCATCTTCAAGTAAATCATTCGCATTCAGATAATATAATGCATTATTATGTTGTTTTTGTTGCGAATCACCATCATTGATCGATTGTTGTTGTTGTTGATATTGATCTGACCAACTTGAGTCACTTGTTGTGGGACAGCATTTTGAACAACGACAAAATAAACGACAACAATTTGTTGTTGTTTTTGTTGTTTCTTTAACATTTTCATTATCACCAGCATTATTAATCAATTTTTGAATCTGATATGTTTTATCATCAATCTGAGACGGTTGTGGTATTTGTGGTTCAACGATAATTGGTTGTTGGGATGATTCTTTATCCGATTCTGCTTGTTGTTGTTGTCGTAATTGTCGGAAATATTCTTGAAATAATTCCGGATATTGACTCAGATAATAGCGATATAGATTATATTGTCGTTGTAATAATGATTCTTGTTGTTGATCTGGATCGATATTTAATTCATGATAGAATGATGATGCATCCATTGAATCATTATTGTTATTATTATTCATAATGGTTATTGATTCATTTTCTAATTTTTTCGATTGTTGCTGTTGATGAGTATTCATTTCCGTGCGTTGTTGCTGTTGTGTATTCGAATCGGATTTACCGGAAATATTTTTCTGAATCGATAAATTTGATTTACGAAACATTTTCGATGATTGTTGATGTGGTTGACGCTGCTTACGATGATTATCGTGTAATTTCTGCTGTTGTTGTTGTTGATCATGATGATGATGTTTATATTGATTTCGAATCTGTGTGTGAAAGAAATTCAACAGCAAAAAAAAATTCAAAAAATTTAAAAAATTCAAAAAATAATGATTATAGTGGGCAAAAAAATTCTGTTTCAAAACATTCATTCATTCTTGATTTATGGAAAGGATAGGAAACAACAAAAACTTTAAAAAAGAAAATAATATAATCGGATAAAGGGAAATTTCCTTCTGTTTTCTTTTTTCTAGATTCCGAATATAGGAAAGGGTGGGAAAAATTTTTCTTGGAAAATTATCATCAATCCATTTTCATCTGGATGATAATCCGGTCCAATTCACCACATACGGAATTCAACATCTATAATTTATAAATCATTGATTATGACATCGCCAAACACAAAAAATTGCTTATAAAAATAATAAAAAAAAATTAAAACATCACAGAATCATTCATCATCATGTTAAAAATGCCAGAAAAACTGTTGGTAACAAACATTTAATAATTATGGTTCTTTTTTTCTTGATTTTCTGTTCACACCATTTGTGTGAATCCATTTTTATTATTATTCTGTGTGATTGTACAGAAGTAGAATCGGGATTTTTTGCTTGGAAATTTTCCAGAACAGCGAATAAATTCTTCAATTATAAGTTGTCAAGTTTTTTTTATAGATTTTTCATTTTAAATCGATCGATTCAAAGCCATTTCTCAAAAAAATTTGAACCCCGAGGTCTGAAATTTTGTGAAAAGGCAAACAACTACAGATTTTTTTTCTCTCGTCATTTTCTACGAGAAAAAATGAATGAATGGAAATTCAATGCTAAAATTAATTGAAAAATCATATCATATAGAAAACTCGAGCAAGCCAAAAAAAAACACTTGAATCAAAAGAGAATCTAAACCAAAATAAAATTATTATCGATCTTTTGAAATTCTTGAAAGAAACTTATTATCAAAACATGGAGAGAGAGGGAGAGAAAAAAAAACAAAATTGATGAGTTTTGAAACTAATTGTGAAAATCCTACGAAAAAAACCAAAACAAAAACTTGACAAAAAAAGATTGTTTCGATTTTGTTTTTCATAGAAAAATATGTCAAGCAAACAAAAAATCGATCGATATCGATTCGATATTGTGTGTGTGCTCTATTAATTCTCAAGTTTAGCATCTGTTTTGTTTTGTATTTTGTATTTGGATGGTTGCATTAACATTATTGTGAATGGAAACATGATTTATTATTATTATTATTAATTGTTGTTGTTATTGTCGTCGTCGTTCAATCATCACACACTTTACACAAAGTGATTTTTTTCACTTAAAAAAATGTTTTTTCTGTTAAATTTTCAATTTAAAAATTACACTTATTTTAGTGATGATTGTTTCCATAGCGGATCAATAATAAAATGTTTTTCATAAAATTAAAATTTGATTCGTTTGTTGTCTCTGTTGTTATTGTTGTTGTTGATAATGTTATCAAACGATAGCCAGACAAAACAAAACAAAAGTGTCAAGATCAGAAGAATGGTAAAATATAAGCACAAGCATAGATATTTTGTACGATATAATCGATACTCGCGATACTTGATATGTTTCCGGTCTCGCTTTTTTTCATTCAACGTCAGCTGAACAGAAAATGTTATTTACTTTATTTTAACGAAAAAAATTTCCATTTCGATTGTTTTGATGATTGAATCATCAAAACAATGTTACAAATCTGTCAAGAGTATTGCTTTGTTTTGTTTTTTTCGTTTGGTCCATTTCTTGTTTTTGTTTTTCGGTAGCTGTCGATCAAGATATCGATCCCGAAATAAAAAGAAATAAAAATCCTAACATTATATATAGAAGATTTTCCCTTTTTTCCCAAATATATCGAATGTTTGTTCTGTGTTTATTTAGTTTTCGGGTTTGAAAAGGAAAATGTTGTTTATATCATCATCAAATCATGAATCGATCCGGACAAACAGTATCGATTGTTCAATGAACAAAAAAATCATTGTCCGTCCGCATATGGGAAACAAGTCCAAATAATCAGTATATGCGGAACACTTGAAAATTTTTTTCATTTCATTTTAACCGAAAAATATTATCGGATTAAAGAAAACAATGTTCGGCATTTATCTATATACGCTAGAATATTGCATAACATAATTTATTATTCAATTTAGAATTCTTTAGTAAGAATAGATTCTTGAATTTAATTAAGCTTAAATCAACCATGTTCTCATCATCATGATAAAGGCAAATTCAACATTATTATCAAAAGAATAAATTAATAATAATGATAATAATGGTTGAATAAACTGATGAAAATCATCATCACTTTTATTGATTATTCAATAATGATCATCATCATGATAATGATAAGAGAAAGCCAAAAAGCCAGAAAAATATTGCTATGGAATTCACACTTAGAATTCCATGAAATAATTGTGGTTATCAACAACAATGATCACCAGTTTTGGTTTTTCTTTTCGCATGGAAGAATTTTGTTCGAACCAAATAAAAACAACTGGTGAACATGAAATATGATTCTCTTTCTCTTTCTCTCGGTGTGGTGTGATAATTTGTTAATTAAATGAAATTTGACATTCACCAATCAAAAGGATGATGACCAATATTCGCTTATTTTTGGGTTGAAAAACATTAAGGGAAAAATACAGAAAATCTTTTTTTTTCTGAAAATGAATAAAACATCTGGTTGCGTCCGAATATTCACTCGTAAATAGGATAAAAAACAAAAAAGATTCTGGATAATGACAGGCGTTGATTATTTCAATCGGGAATATTCTTTTGGGAAGTGCAAAAACAGAAATCTCTAACGAAAATTACATATTTCTTCACATGAAGGAAATATTTCATTGTTTTTTCTTTTTTTCGTGCTGTGAATTTGAATTTTATTTTTTGTTTTTTGTTTTTGGGAAACTTTTTTTGACATCATCAAAATCGAAATAGAATTTTCCGAGAAGAATGAGAAGGAGATAAGTTTTTTTGTTTGCACAATGTTTGTATTGGCTCTCATTACTATGATATTATCAGACATATTTTTGATTGATCGTGTTCACTGAATTGATCGAAAACATATGGTTAGTTAGTTTCTTTACTCGATTAATCAATCGATTTTTTTTCTCAAAGTAATTTTCTTTCCAATAAGTAAAAAAAATTTCAAGGAAAATTATCAGAAAAATTTCTGGTAATTTAAAATTTCTGACAGGAGATTTTCATCAAGTAAATCATCAAGTTCATCATCATCAGCATTTTATAAACATCCAGTATTTTTGTTTTCTGTTACACAAAGATAATAATAATGGAAAAATGAAAATAATACACAGAAGATTCTTTCTACCGGAAACTTTTCCTTTCTTTCTTTGTGTTGGAAAAAAACAAAACAAAACAAAAATTGTTGAAATCATCAGTTTTTTTATTCTTTTGGAACTTAGAACATCAACAAAATCACCCTGTCATTACTGAACAACAACAAAAATATAAAATTCTTTATTATGAATCACCAGTGCGGCAGAATCCCACCGAATAAAAAAAAACATCCATCCATTTGGAAATTTTTTTTTTTTGAATCCATCCAATGAATGAATGAATGACGATGACGATGACGTCGATGATTATGATGATGATAGAAAAAAAGGAATTTTTTCAACAACAAAAAAATAATGATCATGATCCTTACAGATGATGATAATGATGATAAGAAAATTGCCCCAGAAAAAAATTCATGCTTATGTAATCAAAAATAATCGCTTCCATCCACCAAAACCCTTTCGGGATTCAAGAATTTTCCTTTTTTTGAATTTTATATTATTCTTTGATTGTATATCGATCAATTTCTTTCTTTTTTTGTTGATCACATCATCAATTAATTTTTTCTTGATAAGATGATGCGGCAATATTCATTGTTCCTCATCATCATCATTGGTAGGTTGATAATGTTGAATAAAGGAGTTGATTGCTTGCAATACGTCTTTTATTCATTATTCGAATATGATGAAATCGATTGCATCATTACATTTCTTTCTAAAAAATCTCCTTCTACAGAAACATTTACGGAATCAATGATTATTTCTTCCCCAAAGTTTTTCTCAGAAAATTTTCCCCGTTTTCATTTCTTCAATTATAGTTTTTTTGGTGCTTTTTTTGGTTTGGCATCCAATTTGTATCCGTGTACATAGTTGAAAAAGAACAGCAACCAACCAACATAATGATGAATCAACGTATTAAGAAAATGTTATTTTTTTCTTGCAATCAAATAAATAAATAATGAACGTTTCAAGAGTTTCAAATAGACAGCAACCAGGAACATCATTTATACCGGGAAACGACCCAAAAAAACGAAATCTTTTTCAATTCACTTCGATAATGACGATGACATCAATCGTTTTGGGAATTTTCCACCCAAACCAACTACCGCATAACAGAACTGAACGAGGAAATTTAAATTTTTATTTTTTATCATTCAAGATTTAAAAATGGAAATTTTAGAAAGAAAAAATTAAATCATCATTCCATTTGTCAAAATTTCTTCTTTTTTTTTGTTGACAACAAAGAAATTGCCGGGCTAGTTTAAACTTGAAAAAATTAAATATTTCCTTTCTCCGGTTTCCAAAACAAAACAAAAGACAAATTGTAATTTAATTTGATATTTTTTTTCAGGAAAAAATAATTTTTCATTCAACAACGAAGAAACAAACAAAGAATTATGTTGTTTTCTCAAAATGCTGAATAGAAAATAGAATTTGACAGCGAATAAAAAAGAAGAAAATCTTTTAAGAATATTCGTTCATTCATTTATTATTTGTTTTTGCTTGTGTTGAAGAATTCTTGAAGAATCTTTGAATAAAATACTAATAAAAAAAAACATAAGTACACACATAATATTAATGAAAAACGAAAAACAAATAGGAATTTATTTTTCATTTTTCCATTTTGTCTTTTGTTTGTTTGTTTTGATTGTTACCAACCACGCACAAACGCAGACATCGACCGACCGACGAACATGCAAACATTGAAAATTCATCATCATCATTTTATTGATTCTGTGGAACACCAACACCCACACACATTCAAATTGAACCATCATTGAACAACAATCAAATTCGATGCAATCACATTTCAGTCTGATCGAAAAATAAAATATTATGTAACCAGTGATTGAACGAAAAAAGAATCAATTTTTTAGTTTCTCTAAAATTCTGCAACATTTTTTGATTCGATGGAATTTGAGAATGGAAAAATAATAAAAAATAATTTCATAAACAAAATCCATCAATAATTTATAATGATACCTGAAATATATTGGATTCCATCTCTCAATTTCTGCTTCGCAATATTTTTCGGTGTCTGATTAATAATGATGTTGTCGTTGGATGATTTATTCACAATGCTAAACACTCAATATGGATGATAAGAAAATCAATCAATCAATATCAATCGTTGATCATGATTGTCGATAATAGAAAAAACAAACTGTGAATTGAAAATCAATCTATTTTTTATATCGAGAACACAATTTCAATTTCAATCAATTTTCCTTACGCTGTCGATTTGAGTTGAAATAGACGAATGGCAATTCACAGGATGAAAATAGTGAAACATAGAAAAATGTCATTCATTCCACAACATCCATAAATAAACTGAACCGAAATGATTGTGTAGAAAAATACCCAATGAAGAAAAAAACGAATCGACCCGAATCGTCTTTTTTTTGTTTGGTCTGTTTGGAACGATATATATGAACTTTCAATTAATTTAGCATCCAAGCAAAATATATTTTCTTTTTCATTTTGTATTTTGCCATTGAACTGATAGTGAATAATGATGTCAGAAAGAAATAAAAAAACTAAAACTAAACTTGAAAATTATAAGCGGCGGCGCATTCAGTTTGAATAGGTTTTTTATTTGTTTGTTTGTTTGTGTGGATGCGTCGTTTTTTCATCTTGATCATCAGATATAGAATTTCTGTTTCTGAATTCTGTAATTCTGTATCATCATCATGAGCAGATGTTTACAATGATGTAGTTAGTGTTGGTGGTTGAATTTCAAAAAAAAAAACAAAATTAAAAAAGTTTGAATAGATTTTTTTCATGCTTCTTCAGTACCGTAAAGTAAACATCATTTTTCAAAATTTTTGAATAATAATTTTTGGGAGATTTTCTTTCAAAAATTCCGATTTCGACGAAACCAGAACACTTGAATCTAAATTCTCCATTTACACCTATTTACACATCAATTGTCAAAAAAAGAATGACAGCTTTTGTTGGCGAGTGGGCAGATTTAATGTTCAAGGTGGTGTTCAAATTGCCAAACAACAACAACAAAAAAACAATTATTTGAACGAATTTTCGGGATTGAAAATGTTTATTTTGTTTGCATCTGAATCGCAAAATAAAATAACAAATTCAACCAAATGGCAGCAATTCAGCAACAAACAAAAAAATCTTTAACCAGAAAAAACTGGCAAGGTGTATTATTGAATCTGTTGTTTGAAAAACTTTTTAAAAGTCAATATTAAAGTCTATATAGTTGGTTGGAAACATTTTCTCATTTTCCAGTTCGATAAACTTTAATTAATGATGATAATTAATTTTTTTCTTCTATTTGGCATTTTGTTGCTGGGCTGAAATACTTTATTTTTCTATCCAACTAAATTTGGAATGTTGTCGTAGATTTTTGCTTGCCAGAATCTATTCTTGAATGGAATAATTGATTTTTTTCATTCATTATTGTTGTTGAAATAAGGAAAAAAGTTTTTTTTCATATATTCAAAGTTTACTAATCAGTATAATGGTAGCAACAGAAATAAATAAATAAATTTGGAAAATGACAAAAAAAACATGGTTAGAATTATCAGAATTTCAATGCAATGGATATTTGTCATTAGCATTACTCACATCATCCATCCATTCATCCATCCATACACCCACGCATATAATGTTTTTAATTAGTCCAAATAAACAAACATAGTGGGAGAAAATGTCCGTAAAAATTCAATAATGATAATGAGTTTTTTTGTCGTTGTTGATCGAAACAACAAACCGCCAATAGCCGTCAGTCATTTGTTTGGTTTTGCGTCTTTTTTTAATATTTTCATTTCTATAGGAATGATGAAAAGGTGAGAATTCAATTACCGTTGGCATTTGGCTAGAGATGTAGAATTTCATCATCATCAAAATTCCAGTGGAATCCGCGTATGGATGTTGAAAAATTAAAAAAGTTTTTCACATTCTCACGGTTTAATTAACCGTCAATTTTGGGTTTAAAACAAGGGAAAAAACTTCATTTTAGTTAATTGAATATTTTTGTTGGTCGACTGGTCTATGAAAATTGCGGTCAGCATTGATGAAACAAAACAAACATTGCGGAGAAATTTCCTCTGGAACTCTAGAATCTTTCCATAAAAAAAGTAATACATTCAATTTGTCATCATAGCATTACTACTACTTTGATGTAATAATTCAATTAATTCTCTTTCTCTCTATTCCATTCCGATGATGAATTGGAAGACCTAAAAAAACTTTTTTGTCGTTGTTTGTCACAATGTTCTTCTCGATTTACATATATGGTAATAATATTTCCGGATAAATCATCAATAACTAAGGATTCTTTCTTCGGAAATCTTTTTTGATTGGCATCCAATATTCGGATATTTGTTATTCAAGTTGTCAATAAACAACCAATCAAGCATGCGTGTATTGGAAAAGTTTAGAAAAAAATAAACCTGACAGTAAAGAATTGTATTTATGAGTTTTTATCTAGAATTATATCAAGTCATATCGTAAAAATGACATAATTTCAACAAAAAAATTCCCATAGTTTCAATTTCGTAACATCAGGTGGCGTTGCTGGTTCTATTTGCAAAAAAACGACATTGAAAATTTTTTTGAAAATTTATGATGTGATGCTTTTGTGCGTTCAACATTCATTGAAAATCTTTTTTTAAAAAATTAAAAAAAAATTCACATTACCGATTATTGTCACGACGATTGTTATTCAATTCACTTGTCATTCATTATGATATTGAGAGAGATGTGTTGTGTTTGACCAATTTCATTTTCATTTCTGTTCATTCATTCATTCAAGGTCTTATAAGTCTTTTGTCTTTATATTTGTTTGATTGTCACTCACTATGTGTGATATGCTGTTTTGTCTTTTTGTTGTTTGGATGATGAAGAAAGAAAGGAAAATCAAAACCCAAAAACAAAAAACCAAAAAATGGTAATAATTGAAAATGAAGATTTCTTTAAATGGACTTGATAATAATGATGATGATCCTGTCACGTTTATATTTTGAAAAAATTCATTGGTTGTTGTTTTGTAAACATCATTTTTTTGATGATGATAATGATAATGGACGTGATTTGAATTCTGTAATGAAATTTTTTTTCATCAAACAAAAAATGAAAAACGAAAGGATAAGAAATTTGACAACAACAAATGCGAACTCTTGTTGTTCATTATCAATAAATCTTTTTTCTCTCATTATATAAAGAAAATTCTTAATTCCATTTCGGATTCTGAAGATTCCTAGAATTCGAAATCCAAAATGATCACTGCTAAATAATTAAAGGGAAAAAAATTCAATCAGAAAAATAAATAAAAATCAGACGATGCGATGCGATTACGCCATCTAGTGAGCATTAAAAATACATTACTTTTTTTGGAAATGTTTTGATGATTTATTTGATGATGTAAATCAGAAAAAATGTTTATCAGATTTTTCACATTTCAGAAATGAAAATTTTATTGTTTCTCACAACTCAAATGACCCAATGATATTTAGGACAATGATTTCATTCATTCGGTCGGTCTCATATTCAAGATATGTCAACCATATTGATGAGAAGTAAAAAAAATAGCAACAAACACATCACATCAGTAACAAAAAATACTAAGAAATTAATCATTTAAAAAGTGGTAAAAAATTGGCTGTTTCGAAATTCAAATCCTTCTTTTTTTGGCCCCAGTTTTAAAAAATACTCGAAGTGGTTGATGTTTTTTATGAATGAACGAACCAATAGATTCATAGAATCTTGCCAACAATCGTTGAATTGCCCGAAGCATTTCAATTTAAATCTTTTTCTTTCTTTTGATTCATAATAATAACTACTTTTTATTTTTATATTCAATGTGTAATACAAGTAGCGAAAAAAATGAATGAAAATCGTAGTAGTAACGTAGTAAAGATGACCCTTGATCTTTCCACCTGACACACACGTAATATTTCTATCTATTTGTTTCATTGCTACCTGTATTTAAATTTCCTTCATTCGCCATAAATTCATTCATTCAAATTTTTTTTTGTTGTTTCGAATCTCAGCCTTCACCGAAAGATTCCATCCGGTAATTTAAATGTGTTTGGTTGTAAAAAAAATTCTACGCCCACAACTAGCGCAGCAAGTGAAAACAATTGAATTTTTTTTCCTACAAAAAATTGAAGAAAATTGATAACAATGATGATGATGTGATTCGCTTGTTTTCCGGTCTGGTCTGGTCTTCTAGTCTGGCCAGTTCAACTAGCAGTTACCACAAATGTCATGAGAATTGGCCAAAATGAAAATGGTCTAAAAATCTTCTTTTTATTTTTCTTTCTGTGGGCTTTGATCCCAGGTAAGCATGAAAATTACCAGGTTCATCCTATGTATCTATCGATGATGATGATGGCGACCATTATGATTTTCTTTTGATTTTTCTTCGTAAAAAAAATTTGATTGATTGATTGATTGGTTAGTTGGTTGGTGGATGTGTACAGCTCACACACTCTCGTTCTTCAATACAAAGTTTTTCGGCAAAATTTCGTATTGAAAAAATTGGATTTTTTTCCCGAAAAAAAACTAAAATCCAATTCCAATGTGCGAAAAGAAATGAAATGAATGAATGAAAAAAATATAATTGTGTGTGTCTCTCTCTCACCAGAAAGACAATTTTTCTTTCTTTTTTTGCTTCAATCAAAACTACCGATCGATTGGTCGATCGATCGATCGGATTCTCATTCTTAAAAAAACTACTACAACAACAACCTTTGACCTTTTGTTTGTGTTGTTGTTGCTACTTGTCAAATTTCACATGAAACAATAATGATAATAATTTTATATTTGGCAAAAGAAAAATGATGAACAACAACAGAATTTTCTTAAAAATGTCACCGATATTACAATGTAACCGAAAATTGATGATATCAAATAACATGATGGTGACACAACAACAATCATATGACATATCATTTCACCTTTGACCCTAATATGCTTACCTTTATTATTTTTCATTCACTTGTTTCCGAAAATGTTCATCAATGACAAGATTGAATGAAAAATTCAGTAGTGAAAATATCAAAAAGAAAAATAGATAAATAAAAACGCGTGTTCATCGAAGTGTAAATTTTTGTTTTTCAGTTCTTGTTTCAGGAGTGATGATGGTTTTCCAAAGTGGAGAGAGAGAGAACGAAAATTTCAATTTTTTCATTTTGAAAATTCACATCAAAAAAACCTGTTGCTCAACGACGTTGTTGATGATTATGATTATGG